CCAGACGAAAAAGGCCGCCTCCAGATCCTCAGCATCCACACCGCCTCCATGCGCAAAAACCAAGTCATGGAGCCCGACGTCGACCTCGCCGAGCTTGCCGCAGAGACGAAGAACTTTTCAGGTGCCGAGATTGGCGGCCTCATCAAAAGCGCGACGAGTTTCGCACTCACCCGTCATGTCAAAGTCGGCACGCTCGCTGGTATCTCGGAGGATGTGGAGAATTTGCGTGTGAATAGAAACGATTTTTTGAATGCGCTGAATGATGTGCATCCGGCCTTTGGTGTTTCGGAGGAGGAGTTGGCACAGGTTATTCAGAATGGGATCATTCACTTTGATACTGTGGTTGATGTCCGTGTGCGCCGGCTACTGCTTTGAACACTTCACTCACATCCATCTATAGGAAATTCTGCATTCCGGCGAGCTTTTGGTGGAGCAAGTGCGGACATCGACGCGCACGCCTCTTGTCAGTGTGCTCCTCCACGGCAGTCCCGGTTCCGGGAAGACCGCGCTTGGCGCAACAATCGCCCAAGCATCAGAGTTCCCCTTCATCAAGCTGATCTCTCCGGACAACATGGTTGGGTACACAGAGAGTCAGAAGGTCGCGGCAATCGCCAAGGTTTTCGCTGATAGTTATAAGAGCCCTCTCAGTGTCGTTGTTGTTGATAACATCGAACGCCTAATTGGTGAGTGATTGTTATTTTAAATAAGGGTTTTGATCGTGGTGTTCTTATGATACTTCAGACTGGACGCCTATGGGAGCACGGTTCTCCAATGCCGTACTCCAAACTCTTCTTGTCCTACTCGGGCGGAGACCACCCAAAGGCCGCCGTCTACTCATCATCGCCACCTCCTCCCAACGCCAAATCCTATCTAATATCGGCTTCTCCGCAACATTCGACACTGAGCTGGAGATTCCCTCCATCTCTAACCTCCGCTCGCTCGATTTCGTCCTGCGCCAAGTCAAGCTCTTCTCGTCCGAGGACGAGCTGCGAACAGTTATCGACTCCCTGCATGTAGCGGGCTATGACGGCAGGGATCGCCTCCTGATCGGCATCAAGAAGCTGCTGAGCATGGTGGAGATGGCGCGTCAGGAGCCAGATGACGTGGCGCAGCGGCTTATAGACGCGCTTAAGGGGCTTAAGGACCCGCTTAAGGAGCTTGAGATGTAATCTGGGACATTGAACATACATACACTAGTGTATGTTGTACAGTAATATACATACTACTATTGTGGAAGGTTTGGAAAATATTTTTAGGCTCGACACTTATCTAGGGGATGCGGCCTTATGGAGATCCGAATGAATGTGGCCTATCGTTTGATAATCGCTGTTGACATGTATAATTAAGTTCCAACAGTGCCGGCCGCCCGTGTCTTTCTCAACCTA